TGTAAGGATTTTAAACTGTGGGCCTGTGTAATGATTTTAAACTGTGGGCCTGTGTACGGATTTTAAACTGTGGGCCTGTGTACGGATTTTAAACTGTGGGCCTGTGTACGGATTTTAAACTGTGGGCCTGTGTAGGATTTTAAACTGTGGGCCTGTGTAAGGATTTTAAACTGTGGGCCTGTGTAAGGATTTTAAACTGTGAGTCTGTGTAAGAATTTTTCTTATATTTGAATATATAACACAATACATTCACGTTCACCTTATTGAATATCTCTCTTCAAATGCACATTAGCGAAATTTTGTAAAAGTGCCTGGGGTCTGTTTCTGTAATATTTTCTATCGTTCATGTGGTTTTTAAAATAATATTAGTGCCTTTTTACTTGATCTATTTTTACCTTTCTTACGTATGTTATAAGGGGAAATTTATCAACTCGCCTCTAATAGTCCAATAATATTCTCTTTTCGCTACACATTTCGTGGGCTCCATCAAGTCAGCCTTCTCTGTCAAAAGCGCAGGGTATAATATCCGGGTTAAAAGGTTACGTGCATGATCATGACAAAATTGTCTTCGAACAGTGAGAACAACTCTTCATAATTATGGCATATATTTGATACACAAATAAATAAATTACTCTCTTACAAATTAATTACCATGGGATAATTCATACTGATTCATACAAAAATATGTGCAACATCAATATCCTTCATAACTGCATAATGCATCAGGAAAATTAAAAAATAATATCTAAAGTGTGAGCTATTTTTATGTTGTTATTTTTTGTTGTGTTTTATTCTTTACGGAACTACACCAGTGCCATAAGTAAAAAAGTTCCTTTTGGCGAAGTTCCGGTGTGACCTTAATTTTAGCATGCCACACCGTGAAACTGAGGGTTGACGGATCGCATCCCATTTCCGAAAAAACTCACTTCTTCACTTTGATGCCGTTGGTGCGTTAAAATAGTGACGGTCACATCCCACTATTCGATTAGAACAGCTCAGGAGTCGGCGGTGTGTGTTGTCGACTAGCTGGCCTCTTTCTAATCTATCAGTTTGAAATTAAGAACAGCTAACTCTGTGTATCCTTGGAAGAATTTCCGAAACAAACAGATACATTTTGGCGTTGCGATTTTACTTTGTTATTGAATGTACGAAGCCATAACCTTTAGCAATTGGGAACTGCTAATCCAGCAACTAAAATGTAATTTTAACAAAAAATTGTATCAGACAACTAAGTATAATATCTCTTGAGTTAATCAAGCAGTTTCAGAGAATTTGTTGTCAATAACTTTTTATGGTTTTGTCGAGGTAGGTATCGTGTCTGATAGTAATGTTTGGTTAATACTCAAATATCAATGTCATTTCTTTGTCAGCTGATAAGAGAATATGTAACAAATATTTCCACTACTATGTCTATATGAAGGTTATAACCGATACGACGAATAAACATACCCAAACAAACCAGAACACCCACTAAGGTGAATCACCTGGATGTAAATGTGCTTAAAATTATGTGAAAACAAACAAAAAACATGCGTTTCAGTGATACTTATTATTAACAGTGTTGTTTCACTGATCTTATTGTCTTGTTGTCTACCCTCCCTTACTAATTTTTACTTTGTGTTGTCTGTGTCCCTTACTAATTTTTACTTTGTGTTGTCTGTGTTCCTTACATAATTTTTACTTTGTGTTGTATGTGTTCCTTA